AAGTGTGGCTCTCTAAACTTTATAAATATCAAATAATCACTCCCAACCAGAAGAAGTTTGAATTATGAAAGAAGGCGAAAGGAGGAGGGAAATAGATTTTATGGCTAAAATTATTGAAAGGACAAAAAATGGAGTTTTGAATCATTTGACCGAACGTGGTTTCCACATGCGACATCAGGCCCAGCCAACCGAGTTAAATAGACATGTTATCTAACAATTCTTTAGGGATCTAAATGATATCTATTAAGTTTACGAGTGCTATCTCAGAATGAGACAAACCTGATGGGTTTTATGAAATTTACCGATATGGAAGATAAAAAATGAGTATGGATTCTGTCAGAACACCGCACCCCATGCGGAGCATTCTGAATGGAGTAGTGTGGGGGGCACGATGGTAACTTCTATGCCCCTTCTATGGTACAATTTATAAAAAAGGAGGGCAAAGAAGCCCAACTATTGAGCAAACGGAGACTAAATCTGCTGATCGGTTGGAGGCTACTTCCCTCTTACAAAAAGAACAAGGAACTTGTGCTTCGTAAGAAACTTCTTTCTTTGCCTACGGTAGGAGGTGACCTAACAAAACCTGTATGAAAAAGGAATTTTTAGACCCTTCAAACTACTCAACCTCAAGCGAACCAAATTATCTAAGGAATAGTTCCCTGCCCAAGACAACTCAAAATCAAGGCTCATATAAATCCACTACTTCTGCCTAATCAATATCAAGTAATACTCTCATTTGTTTTTTTGGATAGAAAATTCTGAGGAGGATCAAATGGCAAGAGCTGCACCTAGATCGTACGAGGACTTCCAACCATCATTCAAGTGGATAAAAGAGGATGAGTCTAATACTATCGTGATAAATCTTCCAGGTATATCCTTAATTAATACTCAACGACCCCGAACATTTTTGTCAGTATTTCGGTGTGTTTGGTTAGACGTAGTTGGAGTCCCATGCACCTTCAAATCTGAACTCTGAAAACTCGGTTTCTTTTCTTGGGACATTGTTGGAAAAACAAAGTGATCTAAAATCAAGAAGTTATTGTTATGTGTTGATTAATGGTCAATATTCCAGCAAAATTAAATGGAACTAGATGGTGTTACAAGTACACATATTCAACCGTAGAAAACGTATGCGAGCATTCGAGTAGTCGCATCAGAGTAGGCGGGCCTCAGAACTCTTACCTCTTGACACAGCTCATACACCTTGTGATTGTTAGAACATAATGAAGACAATAGTTAATCTGACCATCATCATAAGTAGTCTTTCATGTAAATTTTGAAAAGAGGTAAGTTTCTTATTAATCACAACTTGCATATGTTATATATGTACAATACAATTTAATGTAGGATTCAGGACGGAGGATCTGAAGGTTCAACGGGACAACTTCGGGAACTTGAGGGTTAGCGGGGAGCGCCCTCTTTCAAGGGATCGTTGGAGCCGCTTTTGCAAGGACTTTCACATCCCCGACGACACAAAAAAGAGCGAAATTCGTGCGATATTTGAGAATGGAAACCTCTCAGTTATATTACCAAAGCTCGGGAAAACTACTCAGTCACAGACCGGAGCAGAGCCGCACAAAGTTCAGGTAGGAAGCATGTCTAGCTTAAATTTTAGAATGTAGGTCCTTTTACTTCACAAAACCCCTACAAATTCCCATGAACTTTTATAAATGTTAGAAAACGTTTTTTTATATATATTGAAAAATAATACTCAACATCTCTGAACTTTTGGAAATTCTCATAAACAACGTTTCAGTATAAAGTACGAACTATATTCCTTACCTTTTATCTTATGTTTAGAGAGAGAGAGAGAGTGTGTATGTATAAGAGAGAATTATCCAAAAATCGTTACGCGTGGAGACTGGAGAGCATGACAACTTAAAGTAATTGACATAAGCCATGTCGCTTAATTTTTAAGCGATACAAAAGCCTCCAAAATTCAGGACGCGCCGGTGTGCTGAAATTTTTCCTAAAAATTTAATCGACGGTTGAAATTTCTAAATTGCCCCCTATTCCCTCAATGAATGACACCGACCACTCTATTTAAAAAAAATTAATTATGGCTCATTCTTTGATTACAGGATAAGCCTACCAAGGCACCGGAGATTAGGCCAAGCAAGAAACCCGCAGCGGAGACAGAACCAAAACATGATCAAGATCGCTTGAGCCGAAAGGACGAGGGCATCGTCCCAAGACCACGAATGAAGCAAAAGGATGGTATCGTCCAGAAACAACCCAGTCAAAAGATCGAAGAGACCAGCAAACGAGGCGATGAGAAAGAGGAGGTTCAGAGCCGAAAGCCTGAGGACCGGAAGGAGCCCATGAGCGATACCGGCGATGAAGATGCTGAGCTATCCAAGTCAAGAAAAAGGAAGGCTATAATGGATCAGGAGGTGAATGTGGGAGTATCTGCTGTCATCTTGGTTGGACTTGCGTTTTATATGTCATACAAGCTGAGGAGATCCATAATAGCGGGAGATGATAACTTGGTTGAGTAATTATTGGTAAAATTATTTTAAAAAATGCACTTGTTTGTTATGTGGCCTAAATAAAGGAAAAAAGACATGATGAATTTGTTAGATGTTTGATGAATGAACCTGTCGAATTGGCTGTTCAAAGTTATTACATATTATATGTGTGGACTACATAGATGAACCTGATCAGCATTACTCCCATACTAGTTATTACTTAATTAGGTAGGCTGTTGCCTGTTAAAGTCAAGCACCTATACCTACCTCAGCCACTATTTCAACAGTAACCTGGCTACAGACTTACTAACTGCAAGATCCACCCAACTGTAGTAACTTAATTTCTATAGTATCCACTTACCGTAGTATTACCTATAAATAGCCTCCAAAAACATTGAGTGGATATCATCCCAGCAGAGAGAGAGAGAGAGAGAGAGAGAGAGGAGAAAGAAAAAATAAATAAATAGTGAGTGGTTGTAAAAGAGTGCAGAAGTTTGTAGTAGTTAGAGTATTTGTATTGAAGAAAGTATAGAGGGTTGTACTACTAAAAATAATAAAATATTTCTTAGTGTTTATCATCATTCTCAACTCAACAAGCGGTATCAGAGCAGACAATCAGGGACTGACTCTCTCCTACAGTGATCCTATCGTCGTCATTGAAGGCCGAAGTTCGTACTCAGTCCGACACTGTGAAGTTGGTTGGTTAGGGATCAAATTTACATGGAGATACTAAAGAAGTACTATATCACAATGGGGGATCTGACGAGTACTATTGCTATACTTAAGAAACTCAACAGCAATAACTATAGATACTGGGAGACTTGTATGAAATAATATTTGTAAGGACAATACCTCTTGGAGGTCATCAGGGGTGCTGAAACTACAGCACCTCAGGAAGCTGGCAAAGCACTAAGAAAGTAGAACATCAAATCCGGCAAGGCCATGTATGTGCTGAAAATGACAATAAAAGAAGATTTTGTAGACTACATGCGAGATGGCAGAACTCCCAAGGAGGCATGGGATATCCTTCCCACATTCTTCTCAAACAAGAATGACGCTCGACTTTATTTGGGTCAGAAATTATTTTCTTCATTGTGATTGAATCTATTACAACTTCAGGTGTTACAATAAACTCAACAAAAAGTTAGTATTGTTATAAGACTTTTACACAATGAAAATAACTGATTACAATCTCTTTAAAATAACACACAGATCTTATTTATTAGTCTCTGTTTGCGTGGGATCTTTGCCTGTGCCGGGGACGTTGATATCCGTGGACCGCCTACGGATCAGATCCGGTTGACGAAATGATTAATCAGAGCTCCTACTTCACCAAGGAAGTATTCGCTAAAGTACTGATATCGACCAAGCGAAATTAGTACTTTTCTCGAGATTAAGACCAAGCCTAATCTCAAGTAATGCAGGGACGGGGCTTCAGATCTCTCGAACTCTCCCTCTTTATGCTGAAGAACTTTGCCGGGATCAGCTAGCCTCCTCTAAAATTCGTGCTCCCTTTTTTCCCAACTCCGCAGCACCTCCTCGTCTTGATAATAATTTGTCCCTTCTGAAAGGAGACCCTAGGCTTATATTTATAGGACTCCAGATGCGGGATATTTGGATAAGAATGGAAGATTTGGCATTATCTTCGGTTAATAACGACCTATCCACATCTAGATATGATTTCCAAGCAATTGGAACACTTAAAAACGAAGAAATCCCGAAAATCTATCCAAAAACATGTTTTGGGCACTCAAGGTGCGCGACAGGTTCTGCTGTCCCGGCCTGGGCGCGGGACAGTTCGTACTAATCCGGCATGGGCGTTGGACAGCTCGTGCTGACCCGGCCTAGGCCGGGTCAGTCGTGGCTA